TCCCCAGGTGGCAGGAATAATTGAACGGTACAATGGCCTTTTAAAAAAGGGACTAAGGTTATCTACCCAACCCCCATCCCTGAAGGGGTGGGCACGGTGAATATGGCCGACAGAATTCTAAATGAGAGACCCCGCAAGGGCGGACCCTCTCCAGTAGAAGCTCTGTTGCATAGGGCTGCAGCACCTATACAGCTGCAAATCACTACTAAAGATAAGCTTTTGAAGCCAGGATATGGCAAGAATGGAAATATTCTCTTACCGGCCTCTAACCTGTTTGCAACAAGGACAGACAGTACAATGGGAATGGCCTTGGAGAATAAAAGCCCCCCATATACAGTGGGTAGGTTTAATAGGGCCTTGGGGAAAAGGATTAAATGAAGGCTTGCAAATTTCACCTTGGGTGACAAGTACCTGGCCTCCTCAAGTAAAGGTGACATGGCCTGGAACAGATAAGTACTCTATTACAAAGGGCACATTTGTATTATCATTATGGCCAATTATGAGTTCCCCTATACTGTTACATGTAGAACCTACAGATCCAACAGTGTTAGCAGATAAAGTGTGGTATCATAAGCCAGGTAAGATATGTACTCCTTCTACCATCCTTTCTCAGGATGGCAAACTGGCATGTATCTTACCAGAAGGGTGAGAACTTCCCCCGTTGGTACCAATAACTCAGTTCTGTCTTTTTGCCCATAGTGTTCTGGCTGCAGGCACTACAGTAGAGTCACCTGATCAACATATTGGCTTGCTGAGTATGCACTGAACTTCCCATCAGTATGATTGCAGGATTTGCATGGAGGATCACACCAATGGTGACTGCTAACTGGACATATATGGCTGACAGTTAAAAGGACAGAACTGCGAGCCTCAAGGCATATTGAATGGACAATATGTTATGTAAATGTAAGGGTCATTTATCCTCGCTAAGGGAACATTGTGGAAGATTCTGAACACTTAGATTGTACAGTGAGGGACTCTGAAGGGGTGGATTGTTGGGAAAATGGAACAATTTGGTCAGGCTCCCCTCATTTTGGAGCTGGTTCGGGGTGATTTGGTAAACATTGAGTGTGTGGGTGGAGTATGTGCGCCTGCAGGGAGGCGCTGCTTTGGCTGGTGTTCTACTGCCTCAGGCACCCACCCTGCGTGGCCACGTTTTTCCAGACCTGCAGCTTCCAAGGACCGTGTGGCCAGTCACCTAGCTTATAGACTTGCATGAAGGGGTCTGGCGACCCAGCCTGGCATGTGAAGGATTTGTGACCCAGTCTGTGAATGGGCTTGAGGGGTCTGGGAGCTCCAGACCCAGCCCTAGCTCACCATAGGCCCAGTCGGTGCAGGATTACCGGCAGGTAAAAGAGCCACGACAACTAGTGTGGTCACCTAGCCTTACAATTGGCATTACAAACAGAATTAAGAGCTAGACAATTATTTAAAAAAAAAAAAAAAAAAAAAGAGCTAGACAATTGGTGCTGTGACCAGGATTTGCAACATCATCCTTAGCTTTGCAGTAGCCCTCGCAGTAGCCAGACACCACCATCATCCATTTAAGAAATAAACAAGTTCTTCTTAAAAGCTGCTAATTGTATATCATGAGTTTTTGGCACTGAACTTGAATTTGATGGATTTTGGACATGACCGGCACCATTGTGCACACAATGAGCACAGGATGGCCACTGGCCTCATCTTCCACTCCAGCACCGGGCCCCTCCCTGCTTCCCTTTCTGAGAAGCCTCCTGATTTAAACAGAAACCGCTTTTGCTTCCACAAGGATGCAGTTTTCCACCCTGATCCACATTAGTATAATGACCCTCCTTAATGGTATCAGCCATTGGTGCACTATATAAGCTCTACTACCCCCACACCAGGTGCTGTCCCCATTTCAGGGCAGCCCTGGGCTGCCTGCCACTTTGAGCACAGCCCAGCAGATGTTCTTCCTTTAATAAAGCTTGAACGGTACCCAGCATCTTGGCTCACTTTCAGTTTTTTCATTCTACTTCTCCAGAAAATATTAACAATATATTTCTATGCTTGAAATTTTATTTGATTAACTTATCCTTTTCTGCAGCCAAAATACATAAATTTATGTAATCAAAAAATTTCCTGTGATCCTGTTGAAAACTATGATTATTATTGCACAATTGATCAAAATAACATATAGTTCGGGCCGGCCCGGTGGCGCACTGGATAGTGCGCCACTTGGGAGGCGCGGCGGCGCTCCCGTCCGAGGGTTCGGATCCCACATACAGACCGGCTCCTGCTCACTGGCTGAGCGGGGTGCGGGAGCAACGCCGAGGCTTGCGAACCCGTCGCCGGTCCCCGGCCCGGTGCGGGGGCAACACTGAGGGTTGCGATCCGTTGCCGGACACGGAAAAAAAAGACAAAAAGACAAAAAAAAAAAAAAAAAAAAAAACATATAGTTCAAATTCTGATACTTATTAAACTTAAAAATTCAAATGCATATTTTAATGAGATGGACTTGGGCTCTTTCTTTTTCTCCATTTAAACTTGTGGGTGAATATTACTCACTTTTAGAATGAGACAGGGTTCAGCATCAATTCCATTCTTATTTTTTGTTTTTATAGAGATAAACTGTTCACATAAGTTCTTGATACTTGTTCACATAAATAAGTGGATGAAAATAGAACTTTTCTTAAAGCAATGTCACAGGATTGTTTTCTTTCCAAATCGTATGCCACAAATCACAAAATCTATCATCTAAAATTATTTTTAATGGTCTGCCAGCCTTTACCAATAGTTTTCAAAACAAAAATTGAAACAACTTGCCTAAGGGTTTATGATCTAGTCATTAGAGCCACCGGTATTTCCAAGAGTCTCTTTTTAGTGGCCTCAAGATTTTTAAACTGAAACAGTGCAGCTAACTGAGGTACATGTTTTGTAAAATGGGAGAAGGTGGTTGTGAAAGGGGTATGTTCTCAAGAATGTTTTACAAAACAACACACTTTCAAATGGACTACTATTGCTCTCGAAACTCTTGGGTTGTGCCTTGCACATAACCTGTGAGGAAACTAGAGTAGTTTAGTCAGGCCCCCTCTTCTCGGCCCCGTTGGGGGTGGTGCAGCACATTCTTTGTAAACAAGTTGTGTGTGGGTGGAGTTAGTGTACATGCTTGCCAATTTATCTTTTTAGTTTGTTGCTATTGTGTGTTCTTCAGTTTGTGAAGCAGCAGCTGGCCAGTAGAGCTCCTGGCTAAAAATAGAGCATGTTTACTTTGCTGGCAGCTGCTCAGTTTTTCTTTGGACTTAGCCTGTAGTAGCAGAGTATCTGAGTTTCTCTTGGAACTGCCTAGCTCTTAGATGTGTGTGTGCTGAATAAATCCTATTTTCTTCACCTACAGCTCCAAGGACCTTTTTCCTGTTACCTAGCTCATAGACCTGCCTGTGAAGGGTTTTTGACCCAGTCTGGAAAACCAGCCGAGGCGTCTATGAGCTCAAGACCCAGCCCTAGCTCTACACAACCCCTGTGGCCAGAACTAACAGCATAAGTCCTAGAGTTTGGGAAGGAGGAGGGCTGGGTTACAACAATGACTCAGCAGTTGGCAAGGTCACTACCTGATTGTTGCACTTCAGACTTTTAAGAAATCCGACTCAGCAGGAAAAAAAAAAAAATGGACGGAGTCCATCTGATCTTGCAAACGATGGTGGGAGTAGTTAGTGAGCATGCCTCTCTTCACGGTAAGTCTTTGCTGGGCTAAGATGTTTGTGGGATACTAAATTTTGATCCCATAAACTGGAATCTGATGTCTTCATGAGACGCTAGATGGTGTGACACCGTGGATATTTGGTCCATCAGGATATCACTTATATTGGGGAGACAGTGCGGAGTAATCCCGGGATGTGAAAACGATGGAAAGTGGCTCTGGGGTAGTAGTGGGGCAGAGATACTGGGGCAGAGATACTGGGGTAGTGGAGGTGCGGGGAGAGACAGAGCTACACGCAAACAACCCGGTCTTGCCCACCCACGCCAAGAAAAACACATAAATGCAGGACACCTCTCAGCCCAAACAGCAAATGCTATTTCAAATCTCAAATCTGTAATTTCATAGCTGTGTGACTTTGGGTAGGTTATAAATACCTTAAAACTTGCTGGGTCTGTCCAATCTGTAAAATGGTAAAATGGCTCATGATATCTTCCTCACAGGCTTCTGGTGTGCTTGTTACATCTGTATCTTCACCTGGATGATGGTTACATGACAAAAAAACCATAGAGCTGTACACATTTAAGATTTTTGTACTTTTTGGTATTTATGTATGCTATACTACAAGAACAAAAAGCTTGTACAAAGTAAAAATAAAAGACTATTCCTCTTCCAGGGTTATTGCAAGGATTCAATAAAATTGTGTTTATGAAGTCTTTATCACGGTGCCTGACACATAAATGCGGAGCTGGGGTCCAAGGTGCAGACAGAAAGACCAGGAACTTTCTAGCGTCTGGAGTTTGAAGACCCAAGGTCTCCTCTGTTCTGGTCAACCTTTGTTTTGTGGCTGCTATCTGGGCCTGTCTGCCTGAACTAAAAAACAGGGCCAATTTAGGCGAACTCTGGGAACGCGGCCAACACAACTCTAGGGAGAGAACGGAGCAAGAGCTGGGGGTGTGAATCCGGAGGGAGGGCAGACACCAGGAGAACTCTCCACGTGGCACCTACGACCTTCCTTCCTGCCCAAGGAACGCCAGCGGCGCGGAGCGGCATCGCCATGGCGCGCGGTGCAATGTGGGGCAGCGAGAGGCGCGGCCTGGCCCGCCCCCAAGGCCACCCACTGCGGCGGGCGGCGTCCACCCTCTGTGCGGGCCAGTTCTCCAAACTCGTGTGGTGGAGTGAGTGTCGGAGCTCTGGCCAAGTGACCTCCAGCACTCAGGGGCCGGGACGGTGCAGCCTCCCGCCCTGGCTTCCATCTTCAGCGCCTTCCCGGAGGCGGAGGCAGGGGGCGGGGGCCAGCCCGGCCCACCCTGCGCGTGATCCCGGATGCCGGGTCGCTGCCCCTCCCTCTGGGTGGCGCTCCCTCATCACCGCCAGACCCGAGCTGAGGCCCTTCGGGTCCCTAGCAGAGTGCATATCTGAGCCCAGGCCACGCTCTCCGGTTCTCGCTCTGTGCTCCTGCTGAGGTGAGTTTCTCCTGCGGCTGGCCCATCTTTTTCTCTCAGGAGATAGCCTGGATCCTTTACTACTGAGGGGGGCGCCCCCGGGGTTGAGTGGAGCTTTGGAGGCGACCACACTTGGTTTCGGATTCGAGCCCTTCCTCTTCTACACTGTATGATCTTGGATAATTTCTCAGTTTCTCTGAACCTCAGTTTCCTCAGTGGTAAAATGAGTTCCTACATCAGAGCTATAGCGAGAATTAAGTGAGAGAAAGCTTTGAAAGCGCCCTGCACATATTAAGTGCTCTGTAAGTTTTAATTGCCATCTTCTTTTTGTTTGCTCGCCTACCTACACGATTTTTCCAGGCGCTCTGGATTTTCTATGGAGGTGCAGCATTGCTTCTCAGAAGCGGCGGGAAGGGTGGAGAATTCACTTGCTTAGGCACCTGGCTAGGGTCTGGGAAAGCTGGGCATGTTATTCTGTTGCTCCAGAGCTCTGTTAAAGTAAGACTTGGATCTGAACCTCCACCGGATCGGGTTACTGTTAATTAACTCTTTCCTTCAGACTGTCCATATTCAGGGCTGCAGGACTTCCCTGGAACAGTCTTCATGGTTCTGATCAAGCGTGTTTCTATTCCAAGGTCTCAGTTTCCTCTTCTGTAATACAGGAGCAATTTCAGTATGAGCCTGTCTGGAGCCACTGGGATTTTTTGCTGAAGATAGTAAAGTGCTTTGATATTCTCCAGAGATGATTTTTTCTAGGTTTTCTAAGAAGTAAAGGAAGAAGGTGATGGAGGCAGTGACTTTCTCACACACTTCTCCAGCTGGCCAAACTCCAGCTGTCGAGATCTCTCCCCCGTTACCCCCATTAGCGTGTGTGTGTGTGTGTGTGTGTGTGTGTGTGTGTGTGTGTGTGTGTGTGTACTTATGTGTGTATGTATGGGGCAGGCACTGTAGGAGTGAGGAATTCAGGTGACAGGCACCGACCTCAAGGAGTACCAAGGTTTGTGGGGGAAATATATAAACAGAAAAATGCAGTGATGTGTCCAAGCTATTAGTACCTGGGAGCAGTCAGAAATTTGAAGTGCTAGCTGAAGGATAAGCAGCAGTTAGCCAAGCAAGAGTGAGGTTTGGGAAAGAAAAGTGTGGAGTCAAGTAAGTGGTTCAACCATGTTCAAAGTCTGGAACATGGAGTCTGAAATGAGGAGGTGGAGAAATGAGGAAGGTGGGAGCCAGGTTTTGAAGGAGTCTGGACTTTATCCTGAGGGTAGAGGAGACCTGCTGGAACAGTTTGAGACTGGGAGTCACATGGTCAGATTTGGTGAAAGGATTGTGGGAAGAGGGGTCACATTGGAAGCAGAGAGATCAGTGGTTTAGGTAAGGGATGGTGGTGGTCAGAGTTAGGGAAGTGACAGTGGAAGTAGATGTGGATGGAATGGGGAAAGATTTAGGAAGTATATATTTTTAATTTTTTTTCATATACATCAAGAAATACGTGAAGTATTATTGCAGTCTTAGGTCTTACATTACATTTTAGTGCAAACAGTATCATTTTCTATATTTACAAGTATTAATAGGATTTTTAGCCCAGCCAAACAGACCAAATCTGAGTCAACATTACATATTTTGTGGTTTTCCAAGCTGCCTTCTTCAGAAGTACAGGAGGAGATATGCTAACCTCCCCAACTACCTATGAAAACCATAATTTGATAATACTCAGAAATGCCTCAAAGCAATGGCAAGGGCTTCCTTCAGATGGCTTTTTTAAAGGCCCCATGGATTTTACTGTGAACATGTCTGATTTATTTAACACTTGTTATTCAGGGCCTTGGGTCCCTGGTGAATATACAGAAAGAAGAGCATGGGTCAGTCACTGTGTAAGGTGCTTTAGATATAGTGTCTCTTGAAAATAGTGGAGCTGAGATTCAAACCCAAGCCTGTTCGATCTCAAAGCCTGAACAGATCCCTCTGCACTCTGCTGCTGGATTTGATGAATACAGTTTGGGACATGTTGAGTTTCAGATACAAATGGAACATACTGGTAAAGAGGTCCAGAGGGAGTTGAATATACAGAACTGGAGTGGAAAGAATCAGGGCTTAAGGTGGTAACTGAAGACATGAACTCAACTAGAGAGTGAGAAGAGGATTAGGACAAAACCCTGAGGGACACCAACACTTGTTAGAGGCAGACAAAAAGCCCATGCAGCCAGGAAACATGTATTTAAATACTGCTTCTTCTTTTTCCTGTGTCCCTACATCCAGGCAGCAACTATGGAGCCCTCCTTTGAGAAGGGAAGACTGAATCCCAGAGAAAAGGAAACTAGGTGCTGAGCTGGGAATAATAAGACCTGAGTCCTGATGCTACCCTCTTCCTCCCTTCCCCACGTGTACCCAGCTTCTCTCTTTTACACCTCAAGATAACATGAGGGTTTCTGAGTGCTGCCAGTTACTGCCAAGCTCAGAGCCTGGAGTCAGTTAATGCAGGGCTAGGCTGGAAAGCCATTGCCTCAGGCAGAAGACGAGAAAGTCAAGAGCTGGCTGAGGATGACTCTGTGTCCCAGAGAAAAACATTTCTGTGGCTCCTCCATTCCCCCCTTGGGAGCTCTTGTTCTTTGCACATCTTTGTCAGGTCTTCCTACCTGTTTGATCCCTGTCCCACAGCCATTAGCCCTTTAGGGTTTCAGTTTCACCAGCAAAAGAAAGGGAGAAACAAGATTCAGGTTTCTTTTTCATTTTCCTCTTAGGCAATGTTTTTGTTCAAGGTTTCACACTGATGTAATTTCAGAGCCCTCCCATGTACACTTGGAAATCTGTTAGAGGCTAACAGGTTGATGTTTGGGCATCAAGCCCAGAAAACCAGCCACAGACCCTGATGGCCTATTGCTTCCTCCTGTGAAGTCCAGACATATTTGTTTGATCCCTGGGAAGTTTGTGTCCCTAGGAAGTTTGGTTACAAAGAGTATTGCCCTCACCAATCTGTGGTTTGCTGTCTAGATTGAATAGTTTTTGTTTTTGTTTTTGTTTTAGCAGAAAAGAGTTGTTTCCATAATCAGGTTATACCAGACTATAAAATTCTTCCTGGGTCAGAAGTATTAGGAAAGATAATTTTGGTATATTGGTTATGTTCACTACTTGTCTTATTACCTTTTCTACCATATGTCCTTTCAGAATTTGGAAACAAAGGTTATATTTATAAAGATATTGTTGGCAATAAAATCAATTTCAATAGAGTGATATTTATGGTACTGATGAGATAAAGGGAGAAGGTTATTTCTACCACCATTGGTTCTTGGGGTGAACATTCTCCTTTTGCTTTCACTTGAATAACTCCTGTTCATTCATTAAGATTTGACTCAGGTATCACCTCCAAGAAGCCATCCTAGTCACGTTACTCTTCTCTTGCAGTCTTTGTGCAGCTCTTGGGCAGATTTTGGTCAAAGCTCTTATCACATTATACTGATATCATCTGTCTGCCCCTCTCCCCCCCAAACACCAGGCCATAAACTGGAGGGCAAGGACCCTATCTTAATGTGTGTCTTGGCTGGTTCAGGTCCAGTGATGTTTACAACTAATGCATCACGAGCAGTTACAGTTTTCTTTGTTCCTTCTTCACTCCCACTGCTTCACTTGACTGGCCTTAAAAAGAAATAATGAATAAAAATAAATAAATATGTGTGTCTCTGGAACAAGGCCTGGAACATTCAACATTTGCTGACTAATCTAGTGTTCTTAGGCCATTTGGAGACTTCTGCTTTTCATAGCTTTCCAAAGAGAAATGCTCCAATTATCCGTTTTGTTCAATTGAAAATTTTCTTGTATCTGTAATTCACTACTATTCTGCTGCACGGAAGCCATGTTTCTAGTTTCCCCTTCCTGGAAAGACTTCCCCCTTGACTCCTGGGAAAGTCCAACACACTAAAAAGCCAATGTCAATATTCCTTAGTCCTTGCCCTACAGGATTTGCTTCCTTTTCTGTAGCACATCGTGCATGTGTCTGTTTTGAGGCACACCACATACACAAGGGTACTTTAAAAAGTTCATGGAAGGGGCCGGCCCGTGGCTCGCTCGGGAGAGTGTGGTGCTGATAACACCAAGGCCATGGGTTCGGATCCTATGTAGGGATGGCCGGTTCGCTCACATGGGAGAGCGTGGTGCTGACAGCACCAAGCCAAGGGTTAAGATTCCCTTACTGGTCATCTTAAAAAAAAAAAAAAGTTCATGAAAAGATTTGTATTATCGTTTAATTCTAATATTCTATAGACTTTTTTTTTTTTTCCTTTTTGTCTTTTCTCGCGACCGGCAACGGGATCGCAACCCTCAGTGTTGTGCCTGTACCACGACCGGCAACGGGATCGCAACCCTCGGTGTCACGCCCGCACCGCGCTCAACCAGTGAGCGGACCAGTCTCTATATGGGATCTGAACCCTCGGTGGGAGCGCCGCCGCGCTCCAAGTGCCGCACTCTACCGAGTGCGCCATTGGGCCGGCCCTCTATAGACATTTTGAAGTACCCAAGCACTTTCTATGTTTATAGGTCTGTGTTTGCCTTTTTTTATTAGCTCCTCCTTGGATCCTTGGTTCTGCCACTTCTTTTTTTTTGGTGGTTGGCCGGTACCGGGATTGAACCCTGGACTTTGGTGTTATCAGCATCTGCTACTTCTTAGATATTGATTTGGGGCAAACAATTCCACCTCTCTGAGCATATTTTTTCATCTAAAAAATGGCATACCTCCCATGTAGGAGCGTACTCAGGCCCACCAGCATGGCTGAACAACCTCCTAGGAACAGTCATTTCATTCTCAGAAAATTGGCTCCTTTTGGGGCATATTCTATCACCTGATCTTGCTTTTTTTTTTTCTTTTTGTGACTAGTAAGGGGATCGCAACCCTTGGCCTGGTGCCGCCCGCATCACACTCAGCCGGTGAGCTCACTGGCCATCCCTATATAGAATCCGAACCTACGGCGGGAGCGCTGCTGCGCCCCCAGCGCCACACTCTCCCAAGTGAGCCTCGGGGTTGTCCCCACCTGATCTTGCTTTGTCTTGTAATGGCCTTTTCCTATCTTATACTGGCTTGGGACCTTATTAGTCAAGGCTGGATACTTCTGGGGAGCCACCCCGCCTTTGTTTTTAGGTATCAGAGCTCTTTAGCACAGACATTTAGCCTGGTAGACAGAAGGGCAGGAGTGGTTAGTGTTTGTTTAGGAGTTACTGGCTCTGGTGGTTTGGGGCACCCTGTTTCTACAACCTCTGCTCACAGGCATATATACAGCCACGTGTTTATTCGTCACATCTGTTCCCTCTTCCCACCTCCTTCCTGGCCCATGTTTTGCAGGGTTCTTAACCAGTGGATGGCTGAGGCCCAAGCAATAGAACTAACTCCCACATCATTCTCTTCCCATTTGTGTTTTAGGGGACAATGGCAGCTTCCTGTGTCCTCCTGCACACTGGGCAGAAGATGCCTCTGATTGGTCTGGGCACCTGGAAGAGTGAACCTGGACAGGTGAGGGATGATGGAAGAGGAGGGGGCTTTTGAGCCTCTGCTAGGAAAAAGGCAGGATTTGGGAGAGGAATCCTGCATTTTCCTTGGCAGCCCCACCCCTATCCTCCCCTTCCAGTGAGGATGAGGCCTGGAGGGCAGTGGGAAGAGGTAAGGGGAGAAGGTACCAACAAGGAGCACTTGGCTTCCGCAGCTGACTCAGGAGGGGCTGAGGAGCCCAGCAGGGCCAAGAGCATAGGAAGGACAGCTGTCTTTAACTGGATCTGTGCTGAGTGCAATGGGCAGACATGGGGCTCCCCCCTGTGCCCAGCCCTGTGCTATGACCCCTAATGCAACACTTACCACCCTGTGCTGTGATCATATCTCCTCTCCCACACTGGGCTTCTTGAAATATTTTAGATTTTGCTGGACAAGTTACAAAATGGAGGTAATTATATATTTATATAACCATTTAATAAGTAACCATTTAAAAATGTAAAAGCTATTCTTATGTCAAGGGCTGTTTTAAAAAAAAAAAGTGATAATTTCCTGACCCCTGGTATAGACCCTCCCAGCCAAGAGGAGTCTGGGAATGGAGACCTGCTTTCTTAGGGTTGATGTAACTATGAGATTCAACTCCCTCCCAGGGTGGGGCATTTCTCCAGAGCTTCTTCCTTGTTCTTTGGAAATCCAAGTCAAAGTTAGAAACTTGGGGATTAAGTTAGGCAGAAGCTCCAGCAGGGAGAACAGCCTCTTCTATCTGGGATTTAGGCTGGTATTTTTGGTGTGGTTAGATGACCTCTGCCTGTTTTCCCCTTTGCTTTCCTTCCTACAGCTGCCTAGGACCCTGGAGACAGGGACCTTGTGCTCTAGATAGGTAGTTGACACAGCCTGGGGACAAGTCCAGGAGCTAGGTCAATGCAGGGGGTGGAGACCAGAGCCAGGGCCGGAGTGGGGGTGGGGAACAGAGCAGCAGGAGTCGGGTCAGGAGTAAGGGGAATATGTCTGGATAGATAAGAGCTGCACCCAGATGGGATCTTGAATGTTGTGCCAGGCACTCACAACAAGAGCTTTGGGTGCTTTGCAGCAAGGGCCTGGTACCCTTGGTGCTGCTTCTGATGCCATATTTCTAGTCTGATTTTTAGCAAATTGACTGACACATTCTCCTACTTGATGCTTGCTTTTTTCTGTCTCATCAGGGGCTCTGGCCCAGTTTCTACTTCACTTCTCTGCCTTCCTTAATTTTTTCTCCATCTCTCCTCTTTTGCTGGCCTGAGCTCCCAAAGCCCACTTTGTCTACATGGCTTCCTGAGGGTCTCTCCCTGTGTGGGAATTTTTTTTCTGTAATCATGGTTCTCTAACCAGCTCCTCAGGGCTGCAGACCTGTCTCTTCCTCTGCCTATTTACCCATCCGTCTTCTGACTCAAAAAATATTTACTAAAGTCTTTATGCTAGATGCTGGGAACATATTGTTAGTTTTTTTTGCTGGGCCTTACCGAAATGGCTTGGGTAGGAAGGAACCTTAGAAGCTGGTGGGATGTGGGCAAGAAAGGATTTGGGGGCCGGCCCGTGGCTCACTCGGTAGAGTGCGGTGCTGATAACACCAAGGCCGCGGGTTCGGATCCTATATAGGGATGGCCGGTTTGCTCACTGGGTGAGCGTGGTGCTGACAACACCAAGCCAAGGGTTGAGATCCCCTTACCGGTCATCTTTTAAAAAAAAAAAAAAAAAAAAAAGAAAGGATTTGGGACCTCTGAAGAGGCTCCTAGCCCCCTAACTAGAACTGTCTTCTATCTTCTCACCCTTACTGCATGGATGGCCCTGGTATATTCCTGCCCGCCCCCCATCAGTGTCCCTTGGGAGGGGAGCATTTTCTGGCCAGACCAGCAGAGCTGAAATCTGTTGCTCTCACTTGGCAGGTAAAAGCAGCCATTAAGTATGCCCTTAGTGTCGGCTATCGCCACATTGACTGTGCTGCTGTCTACGGCAACGAGACTGAGATTGGGGAGGCCCTGAAGGAGAACGTGGGACTGGGCAAGGTGAGGACTGGGGCTACAGAGAGAGGTGGGATGAGAGAACTCAAAGGCTGAAGCTGGGGCTGCGGACTAGCTGGAGGGAATCTGGCATCAGCTTCCTTCTAGTTCCTTTCTCAGAGGTGAGGGTGGGTAAGATGGGGTGCCCATGGCTCTTCTAACTATGGGGCCTGCCTCCTGCACCAGGCGGTGCCTCGGGAGGAGCTGTTCGTGACATCCAAGCTGTGGAACACCAAGCACCACCCTGAAGATGTGGAGCCTGCTCTCCGGAAGACGCTGGCAGACCTCCAGCTGGAGTATCTGGACCTGTACCTGATGCACTGGCCTCATGCCTTTGAGTGAGCCTTGCCGTGATCTTCATCCCCAGAGTTGGGGGTTTGGGTGGGATAGTGTTAGTAACTTATAAGTCATAACAGCAGAGCAGGATAGGAATACTCATCTATGTGGCAAGCTCAAGAGCTTGACATGGGATCTTAGCCTTTTCTGCTACAGCAGCCAGGAGTACAGCTATAGAGAAAAGAATACAGCTTCACACAGTGTATACACTAGGGTGTGCATGAGTGGTTCCACCTGCTTCCTTTATTCATTCAGGAAATATGCTGGCCCTTCTGCTGGGCTAGGCCCTGGGGTTGCAGAAATGACTATAAATCCTAGCGGAGGATGTGAGAAGAGCCTACCATCAGTACTGTACCCTGTGCTGGAAGCAGGCTGGAAGAGCATATAACTCCTTAAGAAGGAAGGAGTTAAGGAAGACTTCCCAGAGGAGAGGAGATATAATCTGGGTCTAGGAAGAAGAGGAGGGGGATTAGGCATTCCATATGGACTTAACCACCCGGGTTATGATCTGGAAGGATGAAAAAGCATGGCTGTTCCTAATTCTTGACCCTTTGCTCTCTTTGGACTTGGGGTATGGGACATAGAGTAGCTGGATGGATCAATAGGGCAGAAGCATTGTATTTGTGCCCATACTTGGGGGCTGTCTCTCACTCAGGCGGGGAGATAACCCCTTCCCCAAGAATGCCGATGGTACCATGCGCTACGATTCCATTCACTACAAGGAGACCTGGAAGGCTCTGGAGGCATTGGTGGCTAAGGGGCTGGTGCGAGCTCTGGGCCTGTCCAACTTCAACAGTCGGCAGATCGATGATGTACTCAGTGTGGCCTCTGTGCGCCCAGCTGTCTTGCAGGTGAGCACAGCAAGCACATTGGTGATTTGGGGGGTTGTGTGCACAAGAGTGTGAGTGAGTGAATGATGGGTCTTCTTAATGGAGATGGCTAGCAAGTTGTCAGAAGTCTTCTGCATAAAGGTGGGCATCGTAGCCCTGGGAGAGCTTGAAAAAGCCAGTGGAGAACGGTGAGACAAGTGAGCTGAATGGAAATTGGGGGTGGGCCATGGAGGGTTGGTACATCTGGATGGGGACAAGCAAGCTGGGTGTGGCCACCTCATGGTGATGGGTTGTTCCTTGGCTCAGGTGGAATGCCACCCATACCTGGCGCAGAACGAGCTGATTGCCCATTGCCAAGCACGTGGTCTGGAGGTGACTGCTTATAGCCCTTTGGGCTCCTCTGATCGTGCATGGCGTGATCCCAATGAGCCCGTCCTGCTTGAGGAACCAGTGGTCCTGGCACTGGCTGAAAAGTATGGCCGATCTCCAGCTCAGATTTTGCTCAGGTGCGAGGCAGTCTTGGGGAAAGGGGCTTCGGTAAGGTAGAAGGCCCCTGGGTTGGGAGGCATGGGTTGAGGGATTCCTTAGTTGAGTGCCTGGGTGAGGCTGAGGATCTTTCCACGTGATCTGTGGGGAGGCTACTCTGAGGCACGTTCCCCAGTCTAATGGGGCCCAGGTGCTCCAGGAGCTTAGGGAAGACTTCATGGAGGACAAAATAATGCTTATGAATACTGACTCCTCTTCCTCATTTACCTTAATCCCCCACCTTAGGTGGCAGGTCCAGAGGAAAGTGGTCTCCATCCCCAAAAGTGTCACTCCTTCTCGTATCCTTCAGAACATCCAGGTACTTGGTAATGGGATCTGTCTTGTTTAGCTCATTGGGACACATTCTGGCCCCAACTGCCTGGCTAATAAGGCAGTGTAGTGGAACCCCAGCTCCCACTCACAAGACTGGCTTTCCTGAACCCCACTCCCCCTTCCCAGGTGTTTGACTTCACCTTTAGCCCAGAAGAGATGAAGCAGCTAGATGCCCTGAACAAAAATTGGCGCTATATCGTGCCCATGCTTACGGTAAGGATGTATCACCCCCCAGAGTCAGGGAATGTGAGTTTTAGGGTGAGATTCTGGCCCAGATCTAGCCTCAGGCTTGCAGGTTGGGGGAGGGACAGGATGTTGGTGGTGGGATACAATGGTCTCTTTCTTCTTCATTGTGCCCGGGCAAGTAGTATGGCTCAGGATAAGGCATTCAAGCCTGTGAGTCCCAGTGCTGCTTCTTGAAATCTTAAAACCTAGAACAAGTTATTTAACTTCTCCACATCTCAGCTTTCTATCTGTAAAATAAATCTAGTTCCTGACATGTAGTAGGCTGTCAGTAAATAATATGAGGGGAGGCCAGAAGGCATTCTTGACCTTGTTAGAGGGGTGGGGTGGGGTTATACTCATAATCTGCTGCATATAGGGAAATAAATAGTTCCTGGGTACTTGATCCCAGTTGAGACTGCAAACTCTTAGGGGCAGCTACATAACATAACAGGCTGTGGATTTGGTACTGGAATGCTGTTGATACTGTGGCATTCTCTGAGGCTGGGGTCTTGGCCACTGCCATCTGGCTTAGTGCTGTACACAGGTGAGGTTGTTCAGGAAGATTTGAGGAAGATGCCCTGAGTCTTTGGAATGTCAACTCCTGCTAATGGAGTCATCTATCTCTCTTTCTTTCCAGGTGGACGGGAAGAGGGTTCCAAGAGATGCAGGGCACCCTCTGTACCCCTTTAATGACCCATACTGATTGATAACACCGAGGTCAAGGGTTTGGATCACTGTACTGGACAGCTGCCAAAGAAAAATGATCCATACTAGACCACAGTTTCCTGACTTCCCTTCCAGCTCTCCAGCTATGAGGTCCTGCCACCACCTGAAAGAAGGGGTTGATAAAACCATTGTAGCATCCACACCGCTTGCTTGTCTTATTTGTTTGGTTAAGGCTGGGATGGAAGCTGCTTCCCTCAGGCACGACAGACCTAGGGATGCTGGGTGTGACCTGCCCCTGAAGCCCAAACTTACCTTTCTTGGTTCTGAAGGAAATTTCCAGGCAGCTGGATTCCACTTCTGCCATCCTGCAGTAGGCATGGTAGGGGAGTAGCGCTATTTAGTGGCAGCTCTTAGCACTGCACCAAGACAATTAGAATTGTCTTACCAAGAATACCAAAAGTTGGTCACCTCAGGAGTGTGGTCCTGTGGTTTCAAGGAAGTTTTGGAACTGGGCCTTGGATTCCCACCTCCCTGTCCTGGTCAGTTCCTAGGTTTAGGAATATGAAGAGCCCAAAAAACTTATGTTCAGAAGTTTGGTGTTCCCAGCTTGCCAAATCATGAAAGGAGGGGAGAGTGGCTTTTTCTTTCAGAGACTGTAGTCAGTGTGCATAGGTGACCTGAAAGAGGCAGAGTCAGGCCCAAAGCTTGTCACTTTGCACCTAAGGCCCTATCTTAAGTACAACCTGAGGCCCCTGTGATAAACAAGTTTCAGGAAGGTTTTTGGCAAATCTCTCTAAATTCCAGTCACGCAACTCACTTTAGTTTCCCAGTCAACCATTGCTCTTCATTCAACAAATATTTATTGGGTACTTATGGATTAGGTACAGTGCTAGACCCTGGGGATATAGCTGTAACCAAGACATACAATACAGGTCCCTACAGTCTACTTGAGGAGACAGACTTTAGGTAATTGCATACTTAGTTTAATTACAGTTGGAACAAGTGTGATGAAGTGCAGGGTGAGAAGCCTACTTATTTAATCAGCTGAGATCTAAAGGATGAATAGGGATTAATTAGTTAAAGGAGGTGGAGGTGGGAATAGCATTCCATCCAAATTGGACAGCTTGCCAGGAAAGCCTTGAAACTGGAAGAAGCTGTTGGAAAAATCTAGAAGACGTGACAGAAACTAAAAGTGGGGGGGACGGGTGGGGGGGTAATAATATGAAATTATGCTAGAATTAGTAGGGGCCTGCTAATGGAGGGCCTAGTAACATGGCATGATTTCTGTCTTAAAAAAACCCTGGGTCTCTAGGGCTGAGCCCGTGGCGCACTCGGGAGAGTGCGGCGCTGGGAGCGCAGCGACGCTCCCACCGCGGGCTCGGATCCTATATAGGAATGGCTGGTGTGCTCACTGGCTGAGCGTGGTGTGGGCGACACCACACCAAGGGTTGCGATCCCCTTACCAGTCACAAAAAAGACAAAAAGACAAAAAAAAAAAAACCCAAAAAAACCTGGGTCTCTGCTCCTGCTATATTCACCCTGTGATACCCTGTATCACTGTAGTCACCACCAGGAAAAGGCCCTCCCTGGACTTCAGACTTCCCAGCCTCCAAAACTGACCATTCTCCATCCTGAACCCATCCAGGAACCCCCGAGCCAAGAGTCATCTCATTAGGATAAACTCAGATCCCAGTCTACCTGCCTCTGTGGTCCTCCCAAAGCCCCAGATGTGTTTTGGTCACAAGTAGCTTCTCAGCCTTCAGAAGTCTGAATCCATCCCCTTCCTCAGTCATTTGACAATCATTCCTGAGGACCTACTGCCGGATGCTAGTAATACAAAGATGACCACTCAAATTAACTAGTAGTCACATTACAACTTTTCTTGTCTCCAAGATACTTAACCGTATCTTGAAAATGGACTTTTCCAATGCACTATGATATATGAGTAAGAAGGCTTGCTGTAGTGACCATTCAATAGTAGAAAAGTTGAACTGAGCTGTCCATCAACAAGAGATGGTTACATGAAGCATGGTATATTTACTCACTAAAAACCCAGAGACTGTCTGAAAAAATCCTCCCAAAAAATGCTAAATAGCGGGCCGGCCCGTGGCTCACTCGGGAGAGTGTGGTGCTGATAACACCAAGGCCCCGGGTTCGGATCCCATATAGGGATGGCCAGTTTGCTCACTGGCTGAGCGTGGTGCTGACACCACCAAGTCAAGGGTTAAGATCCCCTTGCCAGTCATCTTTAAAAAAAAAAAAAAAAAAAATTGCTAAATAGCTGTTGCCTCTGGGCAAGTTTTTTCTGTCATGCTTTTTAACTTTTGGTATGTGCTCTTTACAATCTAAAATCTAAAAAAAACAAAAAAAAACCCCCAAACTTCATGGAGGAAGGAAGAAAGGTAGAGGGGAGAAGGATGCTGAAGTTTATTTCCAAATTTCCACTTACTCCTCTAACCCATTTTGAAGACTTAAAACACCTCCTTATAAGAAAAATAAAACAAAATCTATTAAAAACAAAATCTCACAACCCTGGTGCAGTGGAGAGAATGGATTAGAGGGGTAAAGAGTGAGTGAAGAAGAAAGGCATGTTACAAGTCAGTCTTTTGGGGGCCAGCCCGTGGTTCACTTGGGAGAGCGTGGTGCTGACACACCAAGTCAAGGGTTAAGATCCCCTTACCGGTCATCTTTGGAAAAAAAAAAAGAACTTAGTCTTTTGTCTCTGGTCCTTTCTACACATTGTCCTACCTGGAGCAATTCACCACTTAGCCTATCCCTTAGTTCTGGCTAATTCCTTTTACTTATGTGTTTAGTTTAGCTATTACTTCCTCTGGGACATGTTTCCTGACCTTACCCTCTCTAGGTGGCTTGTTATGTGATTCCATAGTTCTGTCACATACTTAAATCATCCAAGTTTCCACAGTTATGAGAAAGGGAAGTATGTTAGTTGGCTAGGGCTGCTGGAACAAAGTTCCACACAGGCTCGGTGGCTTAAATAACAGAAACTTACTTTCTCACAGTTCCAGAAGCAGGAAGTGTGAGATCAAGGTGTCGGCAAGATTGATTCCTTCTGAGGGCTCTGAGGGATCTGTTCCAGGCCTCTCTCCTTGACTTGTAGATGGCCGTCTTCTCCCTATGCCTTCGCATTGTCTTACCATCTCTATGCATCTGTGTTCAAACTTCTTAAGAACAGCAGTGATTGGATTAGGGCCTATCCTAATGACCTTATTTAAACTTAATTATCTCTTTAAAGACCCAATCTCCAAATATAGTCACATTCTGAGTTACTGGGGGTTAGAACTTCAACATATGAATTTGGGGAGTTGGGGGGGCACAATTCAGCCCATAACAGGAAGCAAAAATTGTCATAACATGAAATTATTCACTAATCAATTGACTGCTTAAAGATTATTCTTGACTCAAACATCTCACCCTGTGTAACATGTCTCTATTGACATCTTTGTCTAATCATTGAACAATACAGTGCACATCTTTTGTACTTTTTTTGCACTTTTGCAAAGTGAAATTGCAAATCTTGCAAAAGATTCAATACTTCATGAAGCAATATAAGTGATGTTGGGGAACTTCACAAATTATATACAAAACCATTGAAAAGTGAGGATCTGACAGTTAACCAAAAAAGAAAATCAAACGAGGTCAGTAGACTTCAAAAGAAGATGTTTGGAATATCGAATTATTAAAGAAAACCTTTGGGAAAACTATGCGGTCCTCAAGTCAATGATTGTTTATATGATTATTGTTTTGAATGAAAGCCCACAGATTCAGAATTTGAAAATGAGACTTACCTTTATAGAACTACATTGCAGGAGGGAAGGAAGAAAGGGCTCACCAGCCAGAGGCTAGCACCACCACATCGCAGTTCCTTATATCAAAATTCTTTATACACAAGTACAATCTAAGACCCCTTTTAGAAAATGCCTGTGATCTTCAAGTGTAGAGGGGCTGTCTCACACTGGCATAGGAAAAATGAGATCTTGTGACATTCTGCAGGGAAAGTAATGTAAACCGTGTGGTCAAAGGTTGGCAAACTTTAAAAAGGTTACTTAAGAAAGGGGACTAACAACCTACATTTGAGAGGTTACAATATTTGTGCATGAAAATATGATCTATGAAGGAGTCTTAATATTTGTCAAAGGCATTAAAACTTTGAAAATCTCTTTATTGGTGGATATTTTAGTATATGTGCTGCCAAAGTGAGCACTTTATTGGTGGATATTTTAACTTTTAGAATATTAATGACAACAAGTTCTGTTGAATTTGGTGGTGGTTTTCCTCTTTACAGTCTTCTCTTTGTGGACCATTCACACTTTGACACCCGTATATTTATGAAGCTATATATATGCCCATCTAGATACATCTGCATTTTGTTTCTCTACCTCTTGGGCCTTTGGCCTTTTAAGGTGTTAAATAGGTTGTTTTATATAACATGACAAGCAAACCATGGCAAGCATAATAAATATATGGAAAGCACATATTGTTGCCAGGATAATTAATCCACATTTAATAATTTTGTGTATTATTTTATTATGGTAAGACATTTAACTTTTATTTAACTTTTAAAATCACATTCCAGGGCTGGCCCATGGCTCACTTGGGAGAGTGTGGTGCTGATAACACCAAGGCCAAGGGTTTGGATCCCTATATAGGGATGGCCGGTTCACTCACTCAATTGGGAGAGCGTGGTGCTGACAACACCAAGTCAAGGGTTAAGATCCCCTTACCGGTCATCTTTTTAAAAAAAATAAAAATAAAAAAATAAAATCTCATTCCACCTTACTTTCCTATATCCAGGATCTACCCAAATCAATCAAAGGGTTATTCCTCTCTGAAAGGAGTACAGAATAAATAATGTTTCTTTAATTTTAGCAGTATCCCTTTCTAATTGGCATTACAGATTAATAGTTGTGTTAATAAGAGTGCAAACAACACCCTGACCTATGGTTATGAGGTCAAGAGCCATTCAATTCTGCCATGACAGAATTTGATTTGTACAGATCCAGGGTGTCACTTTTTGTATTAAAGCCCTATTCTAGAGACATTTATAATGGCCCTTTCTGCAAGCTTTTGTCAGGCATCATAGGGGATATTTCTAAAGAATATAGTCCCTGTGGCCAAAGGGTGGTATAGCCAACAATCAGAGAGCTTTAGGAAGATGAGTAGGCCTGGTGTGTATCAAGTATC